ATCTTGTTTCTCTGGGAAGTTGTCTGCAAGTTGCATTTTTGCCCATAAAATTCTTTCTCCCAGTTCCTTATGTTTCCTTCCTAGCAGTTGGATATTTTTATTACTTTATGAAAACTTCAAAGGACTGAAGCCCAAGACTTTGACTTGTCATTTTCTGGTCTTACTTCTTGCTTAAAACAACTGTAACCTCTTCTGCTGCTCTTGCCATGTACACCATTAGCCCACCCGGGATTCTGTGGTCACTCTGCTGTCCGTCATGAGTGACTCGCCCAGGGCTCCCTGACATCTGCCGCCATTGTTCAGAAATGGGGTCATTTTGCAGGCAAACGATGCCACCTCCAGCAAAAGAGGCATGTTCCTGCAAAGTTTTTAGACATAACCGAGCACCTGAATGACACAGTCCAACCTCAGCAACTGCTCAGCTTCAACACAGACTGGATGGCTGCCACCGTACTGGTGTTGATAGGCCCCAGGGGGCTGCAGTCACAGGGTGGGGGTGAGGGGTCACTGAAAGGCCAAGGTTAGTCGTTGGAGATTAAAATGCACACACACAGATAGCAGTGACAAAGATGAAGCACTTTACTGCAAGCTGGTGCTAGCTTATATAGAAAGTGAGAGTCAGTTATCTTAAACCAGGAAGCTCCCGGGGCAAATCATAGTAAAGGTCAGGTCATCACCTACAGTGCACGCACATCCGCCCTGCATAAGATTCATAAGGGGCACGAACTGTCCACGAGTACGGAAGATGGGAGGGCCAATTAGAAGGTTTTCAAAACAACTTGTTATCTGCCCACTGGCAACTTGCCTGCCACCATGTTGCATTAGGGGCTCCTTATCTGAAAGGCCCAGGGAGTTCTAGCCGCCCACTGGGAATTTGCCCACCGCCATATTTGAAAGGCCCGGGGAGTTCTTCAGGGAGACTCCCAACAGCCACTACCTCCACAGCAGGCAGAAAAGTATGTTGTGTCACATAGTGACACTCTGTCAGAACAGCGAGGAAGTGATGTTAGGAATGTGGGGGGTGGGCAGCCAGTGGTGCATGTCCTTTGCCCATAGAGAATAGGACACTAATATGGCTTTCATATCTAAATTCCTCTAGAATAGCTTACCACACAAAACAATCTCATTAAAGGTCCTAGGTTCCATCTTGGCCCTTTCACACCAGCATACATCCCCAAAAGAAGTCACTGAGGGGAAGCATTCTGGGTCTGGGTGTCTTAGTCCATCCATCCTGTCTCAGTAAAGATTTGTGGCCATGGACTCACTGATTCAAAATCCAGCCTTTGTCAGGAGTACCGATGACATAAGGTAGAAAGCAGACACATTTGCTCAGAAGGCAGGACTTTTAGAAGCAGAGAAGTTCCCCTGATAGGTAGCAGTGACATCCTGGAGCATGAGTGTAAGAATGGAGCCTCATGGGGACCACGAGGGCAGAGAAAGCAGAACTATCAGTTTTGCTCCCAACCTGCTTCCCCATAATGCCCCACTGTTGTGGACTCAGGGATTGCCAAGAGACCCGCAAAAGTAACCATTTGACCTCAGCATTGAATGGTGGGCTATGGAAACTTCACACATAAGCAAGAGCCCTAAGTTCTGCAGAACAAACTTAATGATTTGCTTTAATTAATCCACAAGTACTTAATAAGTGTGGTTGAGTCCTTCTTGGATTCCTGTGTCCTCACAGCCACAGGTCCACCCTAAATCCAGGCAGGGGGCACAGTCTATGTGCAAAGACAACCCAGTGCTGGGCTGCAGGTGTGACCAATGCTGAGGTCACTCCCACAGATAGCATGAAAATGGAGAAGGTCCTGAGGTTTCAAGTGTTTAAAGCTCTAGATGGACAGGGAGATGAAGCTCAGGGAGAGGTGGGGCAGGGCAGCACAGCCCAGACCCCAGGAGCAGGGAATGACAGGGTACAGCACTCCCAATTGTCTGCCCAGGAAGTGGTCAGCCCTCCATTCCCAGTGGGTGGTCTTGACACCCAGGGATCTGCTGGAAGAAGCCAACAGTGCTGGATCTTGGAGACACAGAGCTGGCCACGCAGAGCACTGAGGAATTCAGGAGACCCAAAACAGCAGAAACAGCGATGGAGTTTCAGCTTCCTAAGTTGCTTTGTCTTGTTGAGCTCATCTTTTCCAGCCCTGCCTACCACTGACCCAAGGCACTAGCATTAACCACCTTGACAAGCAGGGATGGGGCAAGGCACTAGCCTTTCTCAGAGATGTTCTGACAATAAGCCAACTGTAATTAAGTATTCATCACCTTCTTTAAAAAGTAGGTATTTCCTAAAGTAGCCTAACAGATCATTTGTGAATTAGTAGCTAACAGGAATATTCAGTCATTTCTCATTTGAATCAACTGGACAGACATTTCTTGGGTGCCTATTGCATATCGAGCACCACTCTTCACATGTTAATGCTGAATTTTCCCTTGGAGTGTCTGAGGAATCCTGTTAACTTTCTGGCTCCCAGTGTGCTAAACCAAGCAAACACATGAGGGGAAGACTGAAAAGCCCCAGAGGAGGCAAGACCCATACAGGAGCTTTGCACCCCCCAGAGGAGCCAACCCCAGACCTGAGCCAGCCAGCCTGTCATAGAGGCAGAGAGCAGATAAGGGCAACCCCAGGGCTTCAACATGGAGGCTGGCCTTGTTGGACAGAAGGCCAACCAGGTTGCCCTTGGGCATCTGGCTTCACGAAGATATGAGGTTGAGGATTTCAATGTTGTGATAAAGGACTCCACCACTCAGCCAAATCTGTCCACTTGCTCTGAGGAGGCAGGGATGGTGTCAACCCTGGTTGTCTTTGTATCCCAGCAAGGGCCCTGTGCCTGGCATGTAGCAGATGCTCAATAGAGGAGCAAGCAAATAAGCAAATGAATGTACAGAGGGTGGGACTGGACTTCAGGAACAGCCACCAAACAGAGGCCTCCTTGAAGGCTTACAGCAGGAACCTAAGGTGTGCAAGAACAATAGAGCTTCTTTCCCTAAAGCACAAGGCACACTCCCCAGTGCTTCCATGAGCTCTATAACTGGACAACCAGTGCCTCCTATAGTACAGAGGGGCGGCTGGGACACCTGTATCTATACCTTGGTCTGGGATCCATGGTCTGCAGTTCCTAAGAAAAGCCACAAGCCCTCCTCCACCAACAGCAGACAGTGGTCCAACTGTGGATGCTGGAGTCAGGCTGTGGGTTCTGTGGGTTTCAGACCCTGTGCTGAGCTTTATGACCCAGGGTAGGTCAGAGGAGCCCGTGGCTCAGTGTCTTTTTATGCATGATGAGAGTGTGAGAGAGCCTTTCTTACAGGTTGATGAAGATGACAGGGATTGATGAACTGTTATTTGCACTTGCAATACATTTGGAACCCATCTGGCACATATATGCACATACATATAGGGGACATTAAATAAACATTAAGAAATGTTCTAGAATGAGGGCTGGGGTTGTGGCTCAGTGGTAGAGTGCTTGCCTAGCATGCATGAGGCACTGGGTTCGATCCTCAGCACCATATAAATGTAAAATAAAGATATTGTGTCCACCTAAAACTTAAGAATAAATACTAAAAAAAAAAATGTGTATGTGACAAGACATTTTGAATAGGCCGAGCTGTGGCATGTGGAATTCCACAGTACAAGGATCAGGGCATCCTCCTGAGGTTCTCTCTAGACTTGATAAGACTTGGAGAGGTTCAGAGGTCAGCCATGGGCTTTGATTTCCCTAGGCCCAGAAGCCCTCTTGGGAGATGATATTAAGCCAGCCACAGTGGGAAATTGACAAGCTGGGTAGGGCAGGACTGGGAATTGGGTAAGATGGAGAGAGGAGTTGAAGCTAAGGGACGCCCTCCTTCTGGAACGGATAAATAGTGGCTGAGAATAATGCATTCCACTGCCATATATAAATTAAAAAATAATAAGAGTGGCTGAAAGAAAGCCTAGGCTCAGCACCTGGGCTGAGAGCTGAGAAGATATAATGGCTAGAAAAAGTCTGAGGCTTCAGATAGACCCTTCCCTGGATACAGCCCATGCTTCCTTCAGTCTGGGTGCCAGGGAAGGAGCAGGCCCTGTAGGGTTGGTGGATACATTTATCCCCCAGAGCTGTGGAACCCCTCTCCCCCTGCTCCAACAAGATGAGCAGTGGAGCAGACAGTGAGGGTCTCCATTGCACAGCAGCTAAGAGTGCACAGAGGCTCTGGGAAATTGGGGTATCACTGACATCACCTGTGAGGAGATATTGAGGCATGGTTTCCCATCCCCCACTTGGGGGAAGGAAGACTACAGGAGTGTCATTGATCCAATAGACTGTCCTGTGGTGCCCAGGGGACATCTGGATTCTCTTGAGAGTGCTTAGATTTTAGGAGTGATTAGTGGAGAAGAACTCTCAGAAAAGGCTGGATTTCTTGTCAGCGCTGGAGAAATCAGGGACACACAGGTCATACTCCTCTGTAGAAACTTCATGTTCTATAAGAATTCCTCTTTAGGAAACAAAGCAAAACAAAACAACAACAATAAAAAAATGCTAAATCTATTTAACACCTGGTTATAGTTGATGCTCAATGAATATTTGTCAAATGAATAATGAATGCCCCTTAACTAATTGATAATGTGTAAATTTGGAGTTACCATCTGATACTCCTATCATCAACATGATCCTGTTCCCCAGGAATCCTGGCCCAGTTCACATTTGTCGAGTCTGTACAAGACTTTTAAGACCAGCATTCATTTCCCTGGGTTCCTGGGCTCCCTGCCCTACCCTTTTACAGAGGCTGGGCCAGGGTAAGGAGAAGAGAGGGAACCTTGCCCAGAACCTGACTGGGGGAGGAGACAGCTTCCCCCATCCCCCAACCCCCCCCCCCCCACAATTCCCAGGCTCTCACTCTCAGGAAGCCCTCTTCCTCAAGACAGCCTTTCAGATTTCTTCTTCCTCTAATCTGCCGCCCCCACACACATGAATTAAAATATTTTTCATCTGCTGTATCATTTAAATTCTTTAATTGTGCTTAGTTATCTGAACCCAAAATGCTCCAGAGACTGGGCAGATCCCCACCCTCAGGGGCTCTGTCTGATGAGAGTCACAGCCTTTATCCTGGGAAAGCCCTCTGTCCGAGGGGGAAGAGAAAAGCTCCAGTCTACAGGAGAAGGCGGGTCACATAAAAAAGAAAAAACAAAACAAAAAATAAACTCCAAGACTTGAGGAAGGAACACTGAGGGCTCAGGGTGAGTGCCAGGTCCAGCTCCCTGAGAAAGTCCCCTCCTGGAGGCCAGAGTTCCTGTGCTCCCGACCCATATGGCAGTTCAGCATGGGCTGGGCAGGCTGGGTGTGCTTACAATCTGAAGTCCCTCCGCAAGTGCAGGTGGTGGCAGCTGGGGGCTGCATTAAGAGGCAGCTGCAGGTCAGGAGCACATCAAACAGCAGCAGCTTGAACAGCAGCAGCCGAAGAGCCTCCAGCCAGAGGGCCTGGCCAAGTGTCCCAGCCCCTGCGCGGAGAGGAGGGGGTGAGGAACCTGGAGAAGTCCCCTGGTGTATGTGGGGTAGAACTCAGGGGCATTTGACCATGGAGACACATCCCCAGCCCTATTTTGTATTTTATTTAGAGACAAGGTCTTGCTGAGCTGCTTAGCACCCTGCTTTTGCTGAGGTTGGCTTTGAACTTATGCTCCTCCAGCCTCAGCCTCCTGAGCTGCTGGGATTACAGGCATATGCCACCAGGCCAGCTCTGCTTTCTGCTTTGCCCCCTCCTCAAGGGAAAGTCCTCATTTCTTATTGGTAATAATAAATACCTTCCTGTCCCTCATTTTATTTTCTTCCCCCAAAGTTGTGGGTGAGCTGGCAGGAATTAACAATTTGGTGTACAGACTAAACTAGTTCAAAGTTTTTTATTTGACCAGGCACAGTGGCCCACGCCTATAATCCCAGCAGCTAAGGAGGCTGAGGCAGTAGGATCTCGAGTTCAAAGCCAGCTTTAGCAAAATCAAGGCGCTAGGCAACTTAGTGAGACCTTGACTCTACATAAAATACAAAATAGGGCTGGGGAGATGGTTCAATGGTCGAGTGCCCCTCAGTTCAATCCCCCGTACTACCACCCCCACATCCCACCAAATTTTTTAATTTGGTCAAGAAATAGACTTTAAGACTCTCAGTCAACTACTCCAGCTAGTTTCCCATTTACACAGGCTCTCCCTGAGTCCACTCTCCGGGCTGCTGAGTCCACTCTCAGGCTGCCCAAGGAGCCATGAAGGACCCTTCTATTGGCACTCACCTGTGCTTCTCAACCGATGTCCAGAAATTAGGCTGGGGCCAGAGGATTCACCCTTAACATCAGTTATCTGGTCAGATAGGGTAGACTGAGGTCCAGGCTAGCCAGTACCCCAACCCAGCAAGGCCACCACTTTATGAGACACTAGCTACCCCACATACACCCATGAACATATCAGGTCAGAACAGAGTGCTCCACGCAGGCCAAGGTCCTGGTCCCCATCATTTATTCCCAGTCTATATCACCCTGTGCCCAAGTACTCACCCCTGAGAGGATCCTGGAAGCAGGTCCTGGCTCTGGAAGCCTCTCCTGCCATCCAAGGAGAGGGGAGTGAGTTCTTCTGGGATGGACCATGCACCCTGGAGCACTGCTCAGGGGCTGCACACCCAGGCCCCCGTGCTATGCCTCTGTCCTGGCATGGAGGTGGTGGCTTTCAGGGCACATAAAAAAATGCACCATAGCAGAAGCTGCTGCAAGTCCTCTGAGGGTCCCAGATCCCCTCAGCCCACCATTCCTGTTCTGGGGGGTGGGGAGCCAAGGTGCCTAAGCATCTTCACAGCCGCTTGCTTTGGAAGGCAGGGCATTTATTCAACATTCCCATTTAGGAGATGCCCAAAATGAGATCATCCAGAAAGATGGGGTCAGTTATCTGGTCAGTAATAATAAGACCCTACCACAGCCATGTGACTTAACCACCCTGTGTCTGTGTGCATAAATGAGGACAATAATATTATCTATTTCATAAATGGGAAGTGTTTAGAACAGTGTCTGGCAGAGAGTAAATAATAAGTAATTCAGAGAAGGGCATGGTGGCACGTGCTCAGAATCCCAGTGACTTAGGAGGCTGAGGCAGGAGGGTCACAAGTTCCAGGCTAGCCTGGGCACCATAGCAAGACCCTGTCTCAAAATAAAAAAATAAAAAGGGCTAGGGATGTAGCTCAGTGGTAGAGCACCCCTGGGTTGCTGAAAAAAAAAGTGATAGAGATTTATCATTTAATTATTATTTGAGGGTATGCTTACACACACACACAAATAACTTTCTAGGAGGGAGAAGGAGTTATTATCTATTATTATCTCTTGGCAGTGATGCCTCAGAGTCTGGATTTGAAATATCACAATTGCAAACCCCAAGACTCACGGCTCTGAGGTCAGTCTGTCCTCAGCCCAGGCCTGGATGGTTTCCACTTGAAAACCCTTTATGCCTCCATGACTTAGAGTCGGTCTTCCCTCCCACCCAGCTCCAGGATGTGTGGAAGGGGACAAGGAGCATCCAGAGGAACCCAGACTCCATCCCCACCTGACAGCTGTAGGGGCTGTGTGCTCTGGCTCTGGCCCCCAGGTCCAGGCCCAGTGTGGCAGACCAAAGGTTCCCAGGCTGCCAACTCCTCAGAGGGCAGGGACAGCTGGGCCAAACTAGTCCAGGTGCCATCTGCTGCTGGGGAAGGACCGTAGGTGAAGGCATCCAGTGCGCTGCCATTACTGCCTGAGAACCATATAGGGCTGTCAAGGCCAGGGGGTGTGACATCAAGGACCAGGCAGATGACCAGTGTCTGCTGCTTTCCATCCACCAGCAGTGTGATAGGTGGGGCCAGAGAAGGGAAGGGCGTGCCAGACACACCTGCAAGAGAGCACAGCACCTAATGGAGGCACATCTCATTGTAGGGTAGGGCTCTAGGTTTCTATCTTTCCATTTATTCTCCCACCATCACCATCCACCCACCTATCCTTCTACTTAGCCACCCTCTTTGCATGCATCCCTCCCTGTTGCATTTGCCTATCTAACCTTCCTTCCCCCCCCCATCAATACAGTCTTTCATCCACCCAACTATTTATCCCTCCTTTATTCCACCATTCATCCCTCCTTCATCTATTCTATCTTCCATCTCTATGGCTGCCCATCAATTTACCTTTCTGCCTACCCATATATCATATCTGATCTCTTTTCTATTCCCAGTACTGAGGATATAATTTTGCGTAAGACATTGTCCCTGGCTTAAGGAACTCAGTCCCATGGGAAAGACAGCAGATACATAAACAAACACTTATCATAATACCATGTTGTGCCAGCCTTGGGAGAGTGGTTACCTCCGGGAAGGAAGGGAAGGAAACAGGCCCTGGAATAAGATCAAAGATCTGATTCAAATAGGCAAAATGTTAACAATTTGCTAATCTGGGTGGAATGTGCATGGGTGGTTTGTTTTTATTTGTTTGTTTGTTATTTGTATTATTCCCAGTTATTTCCTGAACATCTGAAATCTCCATCTTTTTTTCTTTTCTTTCCTTTTGTCTTGTGGGGGAGGTACTGGAGATTGAACCCAGGGATGTTCTATCTCTGAGTTACAACCCCAACTCTTTTTTTTTTTAATTTAGAGACAGGTTTTTTGTTTGTTTGTTTGTTTGTTTAATTTAGAGACAGCCACTAAGTGGCTGACACTGGCCATGAATTCGCGATCCTCCTGTCAGCCTCTTGTTTTGTTTATTTATTTTTCATTGCTGGGAATTAAATCCAGAGCCTCGTGCACACTGGGCAAGTGTTCTGCCATGGAGTCACATACTCAGCCCTGTTTTTGTAATGCTAGGGATCAAACCCAAGGCTTTGTGCATGCTAGAGAAGCATTCTACCACTGAGCTACTTCCCCAGATCTTTTTATTTTTAATATAGAGACAGGGTCTCACTAAGTTGCTTAGGGCCCAGCTAAATTGCTGAGGCTGATCCTCCTATTTCTCCAGAGTCGCTGGGATTACAGGCCTGAGCCACCACTCCTGGCTAACATTTTTTTTTTTTTGAGGGGGGGAAGCAGTAATAGGTAGTGAATCCAGAGACACTATACCACTGGGCCACATCCGCAGCCCTTTTTATTTTTATTTATTTATTTATTTACTTACTTACTTACTTAGAGACAGGGTCTCAGTAAATTGCTTAAGGTCTCACTAAGTTGCTGAGGCTAGTCTTAAATTTGTGAACCTCCTGCCTCAGCCTCTGGAGTTGTTGGGATTATAGGCCTGCGCCACCAGACCTTTCTCTCCCCACCCCATTTTTAAACAGCTTTATCTATATTTAAGCCACACATCGTACAATTTACTCATTTAAAGTTGAGGTCTGTTATTTCTTTTTCTTTCTTTCTTTCTTTTTTAGATGTTGATGAACCTTTATTTTGTTCATTTATTTACATGCGGTGCTAGGAATCCAACCCAGTGCCTCACACATGCTAGGCAAGCGCTCTACCACTGAGCCACAATCCCAGTTGTTTCAAATTTTAAAAAATGAGTCATGTGGGTACTGCAAACATCTATCCTATATTTTCCAAAATAGTCCTGATTTTCCACAATCTTATTATTTTCAGTAAAGATGAATCACTTAAGATATAACAAAATGTTATTTTTTAGTAGAAATTCGTTCATATAAATAAAAGCTCAAATGTAACATCTATAAACAAATTTACACCTGAGTTAAGTGTATCCAGATTAAAGAAATGCCTCAGAGACGGGCATGATTGCCCATGTCTCTATAATCCCAAGGACCTGATACTCTGAGGCAGGAGGATCAAAAATTCAAGGGAAGACTCATCAATTTAGTGAGGTTCTACACAACAAATTTCAAATAAAAGTAAAAAGGAGCCATGCCAGTAATCCCAGTGGCTTGAGAAGCTGAGGTAAGAGGATTGTGAGTTCAAAGTCACTGAGAGTCTGTCTCAAAATAAAATACAAAAAAGGGCTGGGGATGTGGCTCAGTGGTTAAATGCCCCTGGGTTCATTCCCTAGTACCAAAACAAAACAAAACAAAACAAAAGGGGTGGGGGGCAAGGAGGCCAGGAATATGGTTCAGTGGCAAAGTCCCTCTGAGTTCAACCCCCAGTGCTTAAAGAAAAAGAAAAGAAAAGAAATGCTTCAGATGATAGCCTGGTGCAGTGGTGTACGCCTGTAATCCCAGTGATTTTGGAGGCCAAAGTAGGAGGATTGCAAGTTTGAGGCCAGCCTCAGCAAGATTTTTGGTGTTGTTGTTGGGGGGGGGGGGGCAGGGATTGAACCCAGGGGCACTGGACCATTGAGCCACATCCCCAGCCTTTTTTTCTTTTTTTTGGCTTTGTTTACAGACAAAGTCTCACTGAATCGCTTACTGTCTTGCTTTTTCTGAGGCTGGCTTTGAACTTGTGCTCCTCCTGCCTCAGCCTCCCTAGCCTCTGGGATTACAGGCATATACTCCTGTTCCCAGCCAGCCTCAATAACTTTTGAGAGTCCCTCAGCAATTTAGTGAGAACTTGTCTCAAAATAAAAACAAAAATAAAAAGGGCTGGGGAGGGCTGGGGCTGTAGCTCAGTGGTAGAGTGTTTGCCTCGCGTGTGGGAGGCAATGGGTTTGATCCTCAGCACCATATAAAAATAAATAAATAAAGATATTGTATCCATCTACAACTAAAAAATATTTAAAAAGGCGGGGGTGCTGGAGATGTAGCTCAGTGGTAAGACAGGGTTAATAATACCACCCCAGCAAAATATTGTGAAGACCAAAGATCCTAGGAATTATTATTATTATTTATACATTTTGGTATTATTATTTTACCAAATTACATTTTGGTTTTATTATTATTTATATTAATATCACTAGGGCATTGCAAACAAAGGGAATAGAGAAGGCTGAGAGTAAGCCCCAGGACCCTCAACTTTCTGAACCTTCTCAGCTGCACAAATAAAGACTTTCTTAAATTGAGTGCAGCTTCCACCTCCTCTGTGAAGCCTCCCAGGGTTGTTCCTCCTCACCCTAGCTGCTTCCTTCCCACAGCTCAGGCCTCCTGCCATGGGCGCTCTCTGTTCCACATGGTGTTGTTTTTTCCCTATGGGAGGGAATACCTGTAAAACCCCGGGATCTAGCTTTAGATCAAGTAGACTCTCCCACTCAAAGGTCAAGGACTTTTCCCTTATGTAAATATGCCCAGGATTCCAGATGAAGCTAGAATTCTCCCCTAAACCAGAGCCCTTTGCTCCAGCCTTGATCTTTGGAGGGCTGAGGATAAACACCCTGGCAAGTCACTGAAACCTTGGAACCACTCCTGAGACCACTGGCAAGGGGAGAGCTGGAAGGGAACCTGAGACACCCTGAGCCCTATAGGAATGGAGCACTGTGAGGGCAGAAAGGACAGCACAGAGCCTCACAGTGCTGCCCCTGTCCCATTACCATCACTTCCTACCAAGGAACACGGTCCTGGCTCCACTAACCCCCAACGTCCATGGACACCATCCAGTTTGCTCTTATTTCTCCATCCCTCCAAGAGGGACTGCCTTCCCTATCAACTCCTCCAGGGCAGGACTTGGGGGCCCCTGAGCCAGGTGGCTGGGAGATGGAGTCCAGTGGGAAAGGGATGATGCCTTCTGGTGTGACCCTGGGTGCGGGCTGCTAACTAGCTGTTGTCCTGTCTCCTTGCATTCCATCCATACCCTGGGGGGGGGGGGGTGCGGAGAGGATGCACAGTGGAAGGGGGTGCTTACCTGTGGGCAGCGCTGGACACTCAAAGGCCAGGAGAAGCAGCAGCCATGGCCCAGCCATGGCCCACTGGAGGAGGCAGAAGCCAGCTGCAGACCTGAGGCCTGGGGGGAACAACCCTTGAGGTTGCCTCCCAGGCCACAGGCCCAGCTGCATGTCAGCTGCTCCACCACGAGCTAAGCCGTTTCCCCACCCCCAATCCCAGTCCTCTCTGGGGGCCAGGGAACTCAGGGGCCACTCCCACAGAAAGCTCTTGCTCACCCATCATCTTCCATGCTCTCTCCTGTTTGAAGAGCACTTCACAGTCTGCAAAGCCCTTTCCCAGTCACTGACTCACTAGAGGACAACTATCATCCACAGGTCACACACACCAGGAGGGATGTCAGGGACTCATCCTGGCCCTTCACTGGATCAATTCTTGAGGTTGATCTTGAATTTGTAATAGGAGTTCCATTTGGAGGGTGAGGCAACTGAGTTTCTGAAAGATTGAGTGACCTGCCCCAGGTCACACAGCGGGCAGATGGCAGAGCCAGGACTTGAACTGTTTCCAGATGGCTGGCCTTATAGGCAAAGAATAAAAAATAAAAATAAAAACCCAAGAGACTTCTTGCTATATGGTGTAAAAGGAAAAAAAAAAGCCTTTGTTTATTTATTTATCTTCTTTTTTTTAATGGTTCTGAGAATTAAAGCCTGGACTTCGTACATGCTAGACAAACATTCTACCACTAGGCTATATCCACAGCCCTCACTTTTTTCTTTTTCCTTTTTCTTTTTTTGGTAGTGGGGATTGAAGCCAGGGGTGCTTTACCACTGAACTACATCTCCATTTCCTTCTATTTTTTATTTTGGGATAAAGACTCAATAAGTTCCTTTGTATCTCACTAAATTCTTGAGGTTGATCTTGAATTTGTAATCCTCTTGCCTCAGGCTCCCCAGATGCTGGGATTACAGGTATGTACCATGATGCCTGGCTCATTATTTATTTTATTTATTTATGTATTCAGTTAGTTAGTTAGTTAGTTAGTTATAGTGCTGAGTTCAAACCCAGAGTCTCATGCATGCCAGGCAGACTCTTTACCACTGAGCCACATCTTTAGCCCTTTTTTTTAAAAAAAAATAAAATATTCTTTTTTAGTTGTAGATAAACACACAGTATCTTTACTTATGTTTGTGTGGTGCTGAGGATCAAACCCAGTGCCTCACACATTTGAGGCAAGCAATTTACCACTGAGCTACAGCCTCAGCCCATTCAGCCCTATTTTTTTAAAAAGATTTTATTTATTTATTTTTGATTTATTTTTTTAGTTGTAGATGGACACAATGCCTTTATTTTATTTATAAATGGTGCTGAGGATCGAACCCAGGGCCTCGCACGTGCTAGTCGAGCTCTCTACCGCTGAGCCACAAGCCCAGTCCCAATTTATTTATTTTTTATAGTTGTAAATGGACAGAATGCCTTTATTTTATTTGTTTATTTTTATGTGCTGCTGAGAATCAAACCCAGTGCCTCACACATACTAGGCAAGAGCTTTACCAATTAACCCTATTTTTTTTTAATTATTTTTTAGGTACTGTGGATTGAATCCAGGGGTACATTACCACCAAGCTACATCCCCAGCCCATTTTTATATTTTATTTAGAGACAGGGTCTCCCTAAATTGCTTAGGGCCTCACTAAATTGCTAAGGCTAACTTTGAATTCACGATCCTCCTGCCTCAGCCTCCCCAGTTGCTGGGATTACAGGTGTGTGCCACCATGCCCAGTTTATTCTTTATTTCTGAGACAGAGTCTTGCTAAATTGCTTAAGGCCTTGATAAAATATTGAGGCTAGCCTAGAATTTGCCATCCTCCTGTCTCAGCCTCCAAATCCTTTTATAAATAAAAACTTTTTATTTACATTGTATTTTTTCACAACATCTTTATTCTATTTATTTATTTTTATGTGATGATGAGGATTGAACTCAGGGTCTCACATGCACTAGGATAAGCGTTCTACCACTGAGCTACAGCCCCACCCCGTATTTATTTATTTTTAAGACAAGTTCTTGATATGTTGTATAGGTTGGCTTGAACTCTTAGGCTCAAGTGATCTTTCTAGTTAGCCTCTTGGGTAACTGGGACACCACCATGCTCAACTTCAAACTTCCTTTTAATTAATTTATTTAGGTACTGGGGATTGAACCTAGGGGGGGTGCTTTACCACTGAGCTACATTCTCAGCTCTTTTTATGTTTTTAATTTGGAGATAGAGCCTCACCAAATTGTTGCTGCTGGCCTTGAACTTGAGATCCTCCTGCCTCAGCCTCCCAAGTCACTGGGATTACAGGCATGTTTCACAATGCCCAGCTCAAACGCCCTTTTTCAAAATAAACTCTTTATAATGTCATTTTAATCGACTCCATTAAATTTTATCTAAAGCTGTCATTTTGATCCAAAATTCCCCATCTAGGCATATACTGTAACGAGAAAGTAAGATATTCAACCAGTGTAGAACAAAGATTGATACACAAAGATGTTCTTTTATATCTAAAAATTATTATATATCTATAATAATTAGAGATATAGCTCAGAGTATGTTTTATATGTACAAGGCCCTGGGTTTGATACTCAGTACCACCAAAAAAAAAAAAAAAGGTTGGATGAATGAAGGTTTGAAGCTAGATGCACAGTACCTTACACCTGTAATCCCAATGACTCCAGAAGTTGAGGCAGTAGGATCACAAGTTTGAGGCCAGCCTCAGCAATTTAATGAGGTCCTCAGCAACTTAGCAAGATTCTGTCTCAAAACGAAAAATAGAAAGGAATTTCCAGCTCTGGACTTCTTCTCTTTGGAGAAGTCTCTCTCCATATCTCTTTTTTCAATAAATCTACTTCTTGTTTGCTAGGAAAAAAACAAAGATAGAAAGCAATGGGGATGTAGCTCTGTGGTAAAGGACCCCTGAGTTCAATCCCTGGTACAAAAAAAAAAAAAATGAACATGAGTGTTGTATATCTCTTTGAAATCTTGCATTTAATTCTGGGCATAAACCCCAAAGCAGAATTAACTGCTGGATCATATGGCTCTAAGGGTCTTGATTTAACATCTGAGCAGCCATCTTAAATGTTAACCAATGTTAACCACCACCTTATGAGATAAGTTTTGCTTTCCTGTACTTCCTCTTACCCAAACTCTCCCCACCCCAATTAGTGACCTACCCCATGGTACCATAACCGTAAGCCAATCCCAGGACACGACCCTTGATTCTGGAAAGCCCCATGGTGCCATCAACCTAAGCCAATACCATGCTATTCCCACCTGCCTACCTCTGGCAAGCACCCCAGATCCTATCCCATAGCGCCCCAGCTACAACTCCAAGCCCCCACCCCACAAAAGCTCAACACCCAAACATCTCCAGGCCTCTCCCTCCTATATAGAGATGGCCTTTATTTGTCAGCTCTGCCTGGTCTCCGTCTGTTTTTCATTTCTCTCTTACCCGTCTCCTGTTCCTCACTTTCCCTTCAATAGTAATTTTATTTTTAATTGTTTGAGGAACAGCTAGACCATTTGCTATAGCAGCTGCATCATTTTACCATTCTTACCGTCTGTGCACAGAGATTCCAATTTCTCTACTTTCTCACCCACATTTGTGATTTTGTTTTGCTTTGGGTTTTTCTGATGGAACTCAGGAGTGCTCTACCACTGAGCTACATCCCCAGCCTTTTTTATTTTGAGACAGGGTCTCACTGCATTGCTAAGACTGGCCTCAAATTTGCAATCCTCCTGCCTCAGCCTCCCAAGTAGTTAAGATTACAGTCTTGGGTTACCAAGCCTATCTGATTTTCTGGTCCTTTTGATACTGGCTATCTTCATAGAATGAAGTGGTATCTAATTGTGGTTTTGATATGTACTTCCTTAAATGATTAGTGATGCAGAGCATCTAAAGCTTCAGTAAGGTATTTTAAGGCTCTCCGTTATACATCTGTTATATTATGTTCTGCAGCAATGAATGATTCAATCCTATAGGGATTTCTCATTCCTTAAAAGGAAAAAAAATAAATCAATAAATCTTGTTGCTCAGAAGTAGAGCCTTTGCCTAGCATGCAGAAAGTCCTAGATTACCCCAGTACCTTTTCCCACCCCACCCAAACTAGTTTAATCAGTTGAAAATAAAAATAGTATTTCATTTCCCTGATTACAACATTTTCCCATTTTGTTATTTCCTGCACTGCATTGTCTTAGTTTTGTTAAAATTTTTACATACAGAATAAAATTTTCACATACAGCACAACTTTACATATTTATCTTTGTATTATTGCACTTGCTGGAGCTGTTTCCCAATTCATTAACTACTTCCACTTTTTTCAAACCTATAATTTTTTATTTTGTATGAACCAACAATCCACTGTAGGATTTACTCATCCCCTTTAAGCCTAGAAATCCTTCCTCTAGAGAATTAACACACTCTCATTTCTATTGTATTTTTGTGCGTGTTTGGCTTAACCTTACCCACCCCCACTTTAACTCTACCAGGTGTGTGTACGGTAGAAGCTGTGCATCTAAAGCACACATTTATTCCAAAGAGCTAGTCATTATCCCGGGATGATTATTTATTGATTAATCCTTCCTGATCCCAATATTTCTGAAATGTTCCTTTTTACATGTTAATGTCTTTTATATAGACAGGTTTATTTCTTCTTGAATCTTTGACTTCTTTATTCTGGTGCCATCCTCATCCATTTGCGCCGAGATGGTTGTTATTATTATTATTTTATTTTTTGGTTTCCGGTGGACACAGCATCTTTATTTTATTTGTATGTGGTGCTGAGGATCCAACCGAGCGCCCCGCGCATGCCAGGTGAGCGCGCTACCGCTTGAGCCACATCTCCAGCCCTTATTTTTTTTTAATATTTATTTTTCAGTTGTAGTTGGACACAATACCTTTATTTATTTATTTATTTATTTATTTATTTATTTATTTTTATGTGGTGCTGAGGATCGAGCGCTCTACCGCTGGACCACAACCCCAGCTCTCGGGGATGGTTATTTTAATGACCACGTTGGCCGCGCGCTCCTGACCGTCCCCAGGGAACCTGGGCTGCCCGCTGCGCTCCACCCTGCCTCCCACTGCTGCCTGGAGGCCGCGGGTTCCACGTGTTCCCAGGCCCCGCTGCGCCCAGGTGCGCTGTGGTGGTGGGTTCCCGCCGGGAGGGGGAAGAGAGGAGGCAGGTGTCCCTAACGACTCTCCAGTCCTCCAGCCGGGGGAGGTGCCTCCCAGCTCCGTTACCACATTACAGATGGGGGGAAAGCCCCCTGGACTCCTAGGTTTCAGGACCTCCCCAGGGCGCCTCGCCTCCCTCCCAGCTGCCCGCTTCGGTCGCCTCCCTGTGCCAAAGCTACCCTTCCTTTTACACACTCCCAGTTGCCAAGGCAGCTCGGGCGACCCTGGCCAAGGGTCAGTCTGGAAGCTTTTTGTCTGCTGCCCACATAGGTTCCCGCCTTCTAGGACCCCGGGAATTTTCCTCTGCCCCCACAGTCTTGCGGATTCTGAAGGGCTTTCCCGGAT